GTGTGTGTGTGTGTGTGCATGAGAAGGGGTTTGTAAGAGATACACTCCAGTGAGAGAATGGTGTAGGAGTGAAGATGACCTCCACTTTGCTGTCTTTTCTCTCTCTCTCTCACACACACACACACACACACACACACACATACACACTTCTCAGGAGGACATATAATGATGCAGTTTAGCTAACAGATCTTTCAGCACCTCATGTCTTTAACGTGATGTCATACACACACACCCACACACACCCACACACATACACACACATACACACACATACACACACACAGAGCACCTGACCTCATATCCTGTCTCTGTACCTGATAAAATAATTCAGCACTTTCTCAAACCAAAAAACAAACTTCCTGTTCATTATCTTAACATTACACTGTGGGCAGCATTGCTCTCTCACACACACACACATGCACACACACGCGCACACACACACATGCACACGCACGCGCACACACACACGCACACACACCAGTCTTATCTTCTTATAAGCCGGGAAGTGCATCTCAATTTCTCTCAGATCAGAGACGCTCAGTAGTAGTACATGATATTTATAACTACAACATCTATAACGATAACATCTATAACACCTCTATAACATCTATAACACCTCTATAACTATAACACCTCTATAACACCTCTATAACTACAACACCTCTATAACACCTCTATAACTATAACACCTCTATAACACCTCTATAACTACAACACCTCTATAACACCTCTATAACATCTATAACACCTCTATAACTACAACACCTCTATAACACCTCTATAGCTACAACACCTCTGTAACGATAACATTTATAACACCTATAACTGCAACATCTAAAATTATCCTGCACCTGATGTGGAGCTCAAAAGAAAGCTCCGAGTCGTGCGTCTAAAAATAACGAGTAGCAGGAGATAAAAAGAAAGACGAGACACATTTTTATAAATATCTGTTCAGAAAAACACTGAAGTGTTTTAAATAAATAAAGGAGGGATGAGCGAGTGCGCTTTAAACGAGCGGTTAATGAGTAAAGCTGCAGCGCTCACGGCTCAGCGTCGCGTTTCTCCTTCATCCCCGAACAGAGAGACAGGAAACGCTAATGACGTCAGCCATCTTTAATCTCCAGCTCTGTTTAAAATCAGTTCATTAGTACACTCAATGTGCCTCATTAGCATTTACAGTCTGGCCTTCTCTCTCTCTCACACACACACACTCACACTCACACACACACACGCACACACACACGCACACACACACACACACACACACACACACACACAGACACACACAGACACACACACACACACACACACACGGGGGTGAAACTCTGCCTGAGAAGCTAATTGTGATGATGGTGTACGATACTCCGTTTCCTAAACACACTGCAGGAGAGACGTTAAAGGAGACGATACACTGCATGATTAATGCAACACCCTGAGATACGAGATCTCCATGACGACACATGCATTACCCATAAGGCCATGTGAGCTCGCCACTTCTCAAGAAC